TACAAAGACCAGTCAGACACCATGGGGGCAGAGTTACAATGGGGAAGGCCTCTCTGAGGAGAGACACTTGAGCAGAGACCTGAATGACACGTGGTGGTGAGCCAGGTGGGGATCTGAGGAAAGAAAGCAGAAGTGACCTGGCATGCTGAGGAAACATGGAGGCTGAAGCTGCAAGCATCCAGGAAGGGTAGAGGAGGTAAAGGCTGAGGCCAGAGAGGTACAAGGGTCAGATGTCCTTGCAGGAGTTTGGATTTTATTCGAAGTGTAACAAAAAGCCTCTAGAGAATTTGGAGCAAGGAAGCAACATGATCAGACACATTTTAAAAGGTTAATCTGGCTGGTATGGGAAGAAAAGACTGTACACCCAAGAGTGGAAGCAGAAGTACTGTGTCACTCCATCTCACTGAGGGTCTGCCTTTCCTTCGCTGGCCCTCCACTATACCAAATATGATGTCCTCCAGGGACTGGTCCCTCCTGACGACGTATCCAAAGTAAGTGAGTTGAAGTCTCAGACAATATTCTGTGATTCACAGGGTTTGCACTGGCTAACTTTTGGAAGCAGATCACCAGGCCTTTCTTCTTAGCCCGTTTTAGTCTGTCAGCTCCACTGACACCTATGAGGGACCCTCTGGTATTTGGAATACCAGTGGCATCATTTCCAGCACCACAGCAACATGCAAGCCACCACAGCATGGCAAACTGACAGATGGGTGGTGAGGCTACACACAGTCACTGCTTCATATAAAAAGGTTATTGATTTTGTTTACTGATCTTATGGCCAGTCACCTTGGTGGGTTTAATTCTAATAGTTTGTCTATAGATTTACTTGGAATTTCCAGTGTCACTACATGTGCTGACATAATGAGAACTCTCTTGAATTATCTCTGCAGACCAATCATTTTCAAGTAACAATTCTGTCTTCCTTTCAAATCTTTACACCTTGCTTTCCTTTTTTTATGCCTGAGGCTAAAACCTCCTGTAAAATCCTCCACAGAAGTGGTGGCCTGCAATTGTTATTGTGATATTTACAGAACATTCAGAATATGATAGAAAAAAATACATAAAAGACGATTCCCTCATATAGAAATGTGTATTTTCTAAGCAATAGCAAGCAGGTCTATAGCCAAGAAATGATTTAATATTCAAGTGAGTACAATGTAAGTTGGCACAGGTATAATCCTTTTTTTCCCCTTAAATTATTTTTAAAAAAATTATTGTAGTAAAATATATATAGCATAAAATTTGTCATTTTAACTATTTTTAAGTGTGCAATTCAGTCACATTAATTGCATTCACACTGCTTTGCAACCATCACTACCAACTATTTCCAAAACTTTTTTCATCACCCCAAATAGAAACTCTGTAGTGGTGCAGCAGTTAAAGCACTCAACGGCTAACTGAAAGGTCAGTGGTTCAAAACCACCAGCAGCTCTGAGGGAGAAAGATGTGAAGATGTGGCAGTCTACTTCCATAGAGATTTACAGCCTTGGAAACCTTGTGGGGTCGCTATGAGTCGGACCCCACAGGGCAGTGGGTTTTGTCAGATGTAGCCCTACATTAATCAGCTTCCGAAGTTCACCAGCTGCCAAACCTACTCAGAACAGATCTTCTGCCCTATGGAGCTAGGGGATACAGGATCTACTACTCAGCTGCTGAGCCCACCAGCGCAGCTCTCCTGCAACACAGAGCTGTGCAGGAAAGGACTGTTCTTTTGATAAGTTGCCTGCCTGGATCCTCCACACACAGTGGGAGCGGGTGGGCGAACAAACACCAGCCAGGTGATGCCAGCAACTCAAGATAAGCCTTTGGAGCACGGAGCCTGTAAGCAGTAGGATATGTCAGTGTTCTCCAGCTGCTGAAAGTACCTGGAAGAGCTCTTCCGGCCCAGGGAGGAGGGAGAGATGGAAGTTATTCCATAAGGCGGAGCTGTGGGGTCAATGGGTACAGTCCCTAGCCTGGAAGCCCCAGCCTCCCTCTGTTCTTCTATTCTTATGAAGTTCCCACAGCTTTCAACAAATGCTTTTCAACTGGTTGTAAACCCTCTGATCAATCTCCAGAGATTCTGAATGTCTTTGCTACTTCTCATCAGCTTAATAGACACCTCTCTGGGAAAGAGCTCCAGAGCTCCTCACGCCACCATTCTGGATTCAACTCTGTTACACTCATCTTTAAAATAAGAGTAATTTGTTGTGTTCTTTTATTTTAAACTAAGTGAGGTAAACTAGTCTGCTCAAAGAAACTTACCAACAGCTGCTTCTGCGGTTTAATGCAAAGAAAACCATGACTTTATA